AGGCCAGGGGCACCTTCACCCCCCCTACCCCTGACCTCCAGGGCAGCACAGGCCTGTTACGGTGGCCTGGCCCCTGGACCTACCCCAAGCTGCATCCCCAGCTGGAGGCCACAACTCTCCCCTTCAAGAGCCTTGGCCCACCCCAGGGACGAGAAGGACCCATCCCACTGGGACCTCTGGCCAGGGCACCAGCCGGGCCGCTCCGTGAAAGAGGCCTGGCTGATCGCATCTGGGACTGGTCCTGGAGGGGCTTCGTAGGAAGAAGGGATGGAGTGGGAAGGGAGTGGGTCTAATGAACTCCACCAAGGGACAGTCATGAAGGCTGCACAGGGAAGGGGCATCTTGAGAGGGGTGTTCTAGTTAGCAGATAAGGGCCTCCATGTCTGCCAAGTTGGGGGAGAAGAGGGGTGGAAGGCTGTGTCTCTGGAAGGATCCAGTCTTGGGGACTCCTGTCCCCAGCACAGTCAAGATGGCCCCTACAGGGCTAACCTGGGCTCCAGCTCTGACCCCAGGGTCCAGTGGGTCCTGGCCCTTCCAGGGGTTGTCCCACAATATTCGGGGAGGTGCCTCCGTGTCTGGGCCCATCTGACCATCTGCAGAAACAGCAGGTGCAGGAGCATGTCTAAGGCCCACCCGCCCCGGAGCCTGGGGCTCGAGAACCTTTATGTCCCAGGCCAGGCCCAGGGGCCATGGGTGGGCTGCAGGGGTGGCCTTGAGGCGAACGGGCAGCTCACCGTGTCTCCATCTGGCCAGGTGCTCTACAAGTTGGCATGGAGCGAGAGCGTGGAGAGGGACTGTGCCACCTTCTGCGCCAAGAAGTGAGGACCCCCACTTGGGCCCCCATTCAGCCCCACAACCAGCTCCCAGAACCCCCTGCAACACCCCTGAGTTCCTGCCTCATGTCCCCCACTCCTTAGCCCTCCATCACAGCCCCCATTCTGGCCCTCCCCCTACCCCCACTCCCAGTGCCCACTACCCCCCAGCCCCACCCCATCACACGATACACATCCCCCTTCCCCAACACACACACTCGGCCTCAACAAACCTTCCCGTGTCCCCCAGGTTCGCCGACCACCTGCACAAGTTCCACGAGAATGACAACGGGGCGGCAGCTGGTGACTTGTGGCAGTGACACCCCGGCACCTGCCCCGTGACAGTGACAGCTGCACCTCCACCTCTGACTGCTCAGTGCATCTAATCACTTAGTCTCCCCCGAAGAATCCCTCATGGAAACTGCTCTTATCCGCTGTCCAGCAGCTGCCAGAGGCCCCAGGTCCCCTCGGGTCCCCTTGAAAGAATGTCTCGGTCACATCAGGCCCGCTAGGTCCAGAGAGCCAGCCCCCAATGCCCGACCAGGCTAAGCCGCAGAGACCCTCTCAGCCCCCACCTCAGGCTAGGGCTCTGCCCGCAGCCTGACCTCTAGCCCTGGTGGCAGAGGTCCCTCAGCTGCGAGGCTGATTGGGTGACCACCAATTCCAGCTGTGGTTAATCCAGCTTGGACCTGTCTGCACTGCGATCCTCTTGGGCTCCCCTAGGATCTCCCCATGCCCCATAAGAGGTGGAAGGCACTTCCTTCCAGGACAGCAGGCTTTGAGTCCAGTACCCCCAGCCTGCCTTTGCCACCAGCCCCACCCCGCAGACTATATGAGGTTTGACAGAGTCTGCCCCCTCCCCCACTGCACCCTGAGAGAGAGCCCCAGTCAGCGGAACAGTTTCTATTACCCCCTCCCTGCCCCCAGACCCACGTGATTTCTGCTTTCTTCTTTAGCAAGATATTCTGGTTTCTAGGTAAGGAAGAGTCTCTAATGAGCCCCCGAGCCTCAGTCTCTTCAGACTCGTGGCCTGGGCTGAGGGGTCCAAGCATGTCCTAGCCAATCAGAACTGGCTGTGGACCACCCTAGCACGGCCACCTCTCAGGGCCACTGGCAGGCCTTCCTAAGTTAGATTTGTAGTTGCATATTTAGCTTTGCACATTTGAAATAAACCACGGTTGCAGCCACCCTGGTGCCCTGTGCTCTGGGACGCTGGAGGGACAGGAGGCTGGTGGGGACGCCTGCAGTGCCAACCCTGGGAGCTGGGGCTGGCCTCACAGCTGGGCACACAGAACATTCCTCCACCTCTTCTCATCTCCAGGAATTCCATGAGCACATTCAGAGCTCTGCTGAAACCCAGATCCAGTGTCTGCCGAGTGCTTTTGAGCGGACAAGCAGCACCATCAAAAAGGGAAACCCATTCCTTTATTCAAAAACCACCCGGGGCCAGGCACAGTCGCTCACACCTGTAATCCTAGCACTTTGGGAGGCCGAGGCAGGTGGATCACTTGAGGTCAAGAGTTCATAACCAGCCCGACCAACATGGTGAAACCCCGTCTCTACTAAAAGTACAAAATTTAGCTGGGCGGGCATGGTGGCGCATGCCTGTAATCCCAGCTACTCAGGAGGGTGAGGCAGGAGAATCGTTTGAACCCGGGAGGCGGAGGTTGCAGTGAGCCGAGATCACGCCAGTGCACTCCAGCCTGAGTGACAGAGTGAGACTCTGTCTCAAAAAAAAAAAAAAAAAAACACCTTTCAGGCTGTGGCTGGGTGTATGACGTGTCTTGGTCCACGTCAGTTCCTGGGGAATCTCTGCTTCCCTTTCTGTGCTCCCCTTTCCCATGGGCCCTCGCCTGCCAGGGGCTGCAGAGCACGTGCCCGCCAATCCCCCGAGCACCAGCCTTGCATGGGAACCCCCCTGAGCCACAGGTTCTGGGCCACTTCACCTCCAGCCCAGCCCCAGATGGAGGAATGCATTCTCTGGGTCTGGAGTGGGTGCATTAACCCATTGTCCAGGTGGCCCATGAGACTGGTGGCAAACCCAGGTCCCCCACTGCAGCCCACCAGGCCAGGGTCCCCTGGGCTACCTCTGTCTCCATTTTAGTTCTGACCAGTCTAAAGCGTGTGTATCCAGGGGCCTTTCTTTGGGGTCCCAGCACCCCTCATCATCTCCCCCATCAGGACTTCCAAGCCCCCCGAGCCTCCTGCCCTCAGGGACCCAGGATGGGTCCTTTCCTCCCTGACCCTCATTCCTATCCCCAGCGAGGTGACAGCTGCTCTTGGCCCACCACGCCCCCTCCACCCCCACAGCTACTTCCACATCTCCATCAGTTCCTCCTTGTGGGTCCCAGGCGCTCTGCCCCCGGCCCCTCCCCACTTCCTCCTCCCTGGGGATGGATCCGAGCTATTGTCCTGCCCATGGCTTCCCATCTCAGGACGCTCTCTGGCCACTGTCATCCCAGCAGTGGAGTTCAGCCCACTACTCTGAACCAGGTTAGTCCACCGCGGGTCAGGCTCTCCCCTCTCGCGGGAGGGTGGAGACCACAACCAGGCCATGTATGGAGCCTCCCTCTCTCCTGCTCTCCGGCACCCCCTCCTCCCCCTTCCCAGCCTCATTCATAGGTGTCCTGGTTCCCAGCCAGGCCTCCAGGCCTGTGTGCAACTCCAATCGAGGACTGGCCCACTGCCGAAGCTTTCATTAAAGTGTCTGCTGGCCTGGTCCTGCGGAGGGAACAGAGCCAAGATGTGGGGCAGGGAAGGGGCCTGCCTGGCTTCCATGCCCCCGTGGAGGGCAGCACCGGGGTTTTGGGCAGCAGGTGAGGGCTCTGTCCCCTCCACCTTCACCTCTGGAAGCCCCACCTTTCCATCCCTAAGAAGGGGATAAAAATCCTTGTCTGTCCAGCCTCCTGGAAAATTAGAGATGGGAAATGGCTCTGGGAAAGGTCAGAGGTCAGTTTGGGCCCGGGAGGGTGACAGATGGAGGCAGTTCCAGCTGGCAAGGAGACCAGGGCAGAGCGGCCAGAGGTGGGCGCAGGGGACAGGGAGGGAGATGAGGGGAGAAGACACCCAGGGGTCCCCCACTGCTATCTCCAGCAGCAAGATTACTCTCATCTCTGAGGGGCCGTTTCCACACCTCTGCCCCCACTGAAGCCCTCCCTCCCCTCTCGGACCTCTTCCAGTCCTGCTGAGCCCCCTGCACCTCTTTCAGGAAGCCTCCCAGAGCCCCCCACCAGCGGTCTGGCCACCTGACCCCTCAGCACCAGGGGTGAGGCCACAAGTGCCCCGCAAAGCCCAGCGGGACTGTTTCCTTAGCCCGACTGGTCTCTGCCCTAACGCAGGCGAGTTCTGGAGCCAGGAAGGGGTGAGCAAGGTGCCAGGGCTGTGGCCCCTCATCGCCCCTCTATGATCTCTGACACCTCTCCGGGTGGCATCAGGCCCCCATCACAGCGAAGGCTGGGTGGTGGGGGCACAGCGCTCTGGGGGCCGTCCCGCGCTGTGTCCCGGGGGCGATTTCCCGCACCGGAGGGCTGGAGGGAGGGGGCGTGGTGGCGCTCTCGGGATTTATGAGAATCAGACGTCGACTTCCCCCGTTGCGACATCCAGGCCTCCTCCAGGCTCCCATTGTCCCCGCTGCGGAGGGTCTGGCCACAGCGGCGGCTCTCGCGAAGCACCCGTCACCGAGGGGCGCTTCGAGGGCTTCCGCGCCCCATACAGCCGCCACGCAGGACACTCCCCCGGCCCCACGAGCCGCGCTCCCGGGGCTACCACCACCCCGGGCTCGAGAGGTCGCTTCCGCGAGAAGGAGGGGGAGTCCCGTGCCTGGCCTGGGACCGGCTCTGCGAAAAGAGGACCCCGGTCCAGATGGGGCGACTCGGAGCCGGCTCCTAACCCCTCTCTCCGGGCCCCAGGGCCGGGCAGTCTCGGCAACGCAGCTGCGGGGAGCGAGCAAGCACCCG